ATCTTTAAGGTCCAAGACTGTAAAGTAAGTAGCCCCACCCGGAATCAAGGCAAGCAGGTTATAAGGATTGGGCACAACTGGATGTATACTTACTACCACATCATTGACTGCTCTCAAATCCTGCACAGGACGATACTCATCTGACCCAGGCTTCAGAACAGGCAACAATGGAGTATTCCAGGGGGAAGTACAGAATTTTAGGATACCATACCTTATGAACTTATCCAAATAAGACTGTATGTTCTTCTTCGCCTTTTGAGGTATATGGTATTGTCGCAGGCTTACTGGATAAACCCCAAGCTTTAGTTTGATGCATATAGGTGGGATATTGTGAGCAAGTCCTGGTGGGTTATTTTCTGCCCACACTCCTGGTATATTATACAAGGATTCATCACTCTTAGGGTTTTGACTTGTCATCACTGTATAAAGTCGCCACTCTTCTTCCTTTGGTACTGATAGTGTCATTATACCTGAGGGTCCATTAAACTTCAAGGATGTCGTTCCGTTAGGCAGAAATGTTATCTGTGCTTGTAACTTCGACAACAAATCCCGTCCTAGAAGTTGGACTGGACATTCAGGCATGTAAAGGAACTGATGTTTCACTACGTGGCCTCCCAGTGTACAGAGTTGACTTTTGAGAACCGGTTTAGCAGCACTCCTCCCAGTTGCTCCTATTACAGTGATAGTTCTTCCTGAAGGAGGAGCAACTAGGTCGGTTACCACAGAATGTTCAGCACCAGTGTCGATCATGAAAGAACTCCTTTTTTCCCCTATTGCTACATCGACCATAGGCTCCGCTCGACCAAGGGGGATGGAGCCCGGTCGGTATCAATAGTCCTCCATGACAGTGTCAGCCAAACCCACAAAGTCCCTATCTTCTCTTTCTCGCGGTCTCTGCGCTGCTGGGTAATACCTATCCCCTTGAACGCTTCCTCTACTATTCCCACCATTTCCTCCAGGGCCTCCTCTTCCTCTCACTCTACCGCTATAGTTATTACTATATCCTCCCCTTGTTCTATCTCTCTCATGTTGTTCCCTCAATGGACACTCACTCCTCCAATGCCCTTCTTCCCTACAATATTCGCATTGGTTCCTACTTAAAGGCTCCCTATTCCACTTATTCTCGCTTTTCTCGGTTCCCCTGTACACTTCCTTTTCCCTTCTATCTACACCAGCGATAGCTACCGCTAACATATCTGCCTTCCTTCTCATCTTACGCTCTTCTTCCTTCTTCGTCTCTGTCTCCCTATTCATATAAACCTTATTTGCTATTTCCATTAGTTGAGTTATAGACATCCCTACAAACCCTTCTAGCTTTTGCAATTTTCTTTTAATATCTCCGTAAGCCTGGCTGACAAAGGCAGAGTTAACCATCCGGGAATTCTCAGGAGCCTCTGGACTAAAGGGGGTATACAATCGGTATGCCTCCAATAATCGGTCATAAAAGGCACTGGGCGACTCATCACATTTCTGCAATACCTCAACCGTCTTTGACATATTGATCGCCTTTTTCCGTCCGGCTTTCATGCCAGTAATAATGGCTTCCCTATAAGCTTTTAGGTGAGCCATATCAGCACCATTAACATTCCAATTCGGATCTACGTTTGGGTAATGAGCTGCGGCCCATGCTACTGGGTTGGCCTGATTCTGTGCACGGGCCACTTCTTCAAGCACTTTAATTGCTGCCTGATTAATCCGAGTCCTTTCCTCATTATTAAACAATGTCATAAGCAATTGCTGGCAATCAGCCCAAGTGGGATTGTGCGTTTGGATTATGGAGGTAATCAAATCTGTCATGGCTTGAGGTTTGTCTGTGTAAGAGGAGTTATGGGTTTTCCAGTTGAACAAATCCATAGTGGTAAAGGGAACATAAACAAATATGGGGTCGGCATGTTGTAACTGGCCTTCACCATTAATGTGTGTCGGGCCCGGTGTCAATCGGAGAGGCATTTGATAATGTCGGGGTTGAAGGGTACCGGTCAATTGTCGGGTTAGTATGGGGCTTCGTTGAGGAAGGTCAGTTATGGGTTCCGGTCGAGGGGTAGTAAGACGAGGGGAGGGGGACGCCTTTTCTTTACTGAAGGGGAGGTTGGTAAGCAGAATATTCAGGGCCGGGCTGGGAGGAGCCTGACCAGGAACCAGAAATGATGTCAAATCTGGATAGGTGGAGTTAGTAGGGGTAGGTACCGGAAGGGGAGGGTTTAGAACAAGTGGGCTGGGCTCTGAGCTAGAGGATGGGGTAGGAGGAGACAATGGGGCAAGAGGAGTGGCATTACTAGCCGCACCTCCTCTTCCTCTAGAGGAGGAGTAAGTGTCACGTATTCATCCGCTTATAGAAATGTGGTTAATGACATTTACTGTCCACACAGGAAAAGTTGTGCCGAGCAGCAACCTAATCCACAGAAGGTTTAATGCTGAGCAGTAATTGTGCAAATGAAACCTGGTCTCATGTATTCATCCGCTTATAGAAAAGTGGTTAATGACATTTACTGTCCACACAGGAAAAGTTGTGCCGAGCAGCAACCTAAACCACAGAAGGGTTAATGCTGAGCAGCAATTATGCAAATGAAACCTGGTAACTGACTTTGGGGTCAAAGGCCGGTTACAGCCTATCAGAAAGAAAGGAGGGGTATTTAGGCCCAGTTCTCAGCCTGCTCAGTGCCCTGTCGTGGTTTCCCTTGTGGTTGTCCGAGAGCGCGTTCCTGTTTATAGTTTTCTACCTGGTTTTTGACTTTGGCTTTGTTTATTGACTTCTCTATATTCTGGTATCCTGACTCCTGGCTTTCCTCATCGCTGTATCCCTTACTGTGTTCCCTGACCTCGGCTAGTATTTTTGACTATTCTTTGTACGTTAAATCCGGCCATTCTAAGGACCGGTAAAATGTTACTTATTTGTCATCCGTGCTGTACAGTTCTACGTGCTGGATCAAACAGTAATCCTGACAGTAAGGGGGCGGTACAGGAATCTCTGACTCAGGGGGCGTGTCCAGAATGGGCATGATCACGGCCTTGGTGGACAAACGAGTTCTGGCCAACAGGAGGCGGCATTGCTCCTCTTGGCACACCCTGATCCATTTTGGCAAGTCATCCACGGCCTGTTTCCAACAATCAATATATGGAAACTGGTCGTAAAGTTCCGGCCTACCAGATACAGCTACGTGTACACGCTGCACTAGATTAGGATCAAGACTACCACGTGGAGGCCATGCAACCACTAAGGCAGGCCATTCCCTGCTACATAAAGTAGTCAAACGTGTTGGAGACATCTTTACCCCAAAATCACATACATTATATCCCTTTTTAAAATTCTTTAACATGCAATCTAAGGGATCAACGATCTTTGAATCCAACGCACCCATACTTAACAATGGAGCGTCGTCTCCAATAGAAACAAAACAAAACACACTTCCAACAGTCACACCCGTTTCCCTTGGCAACAGCACCACGTGACACAGTTACTAGGCCAAACGCACACAACAAAGCATACAGGGAATTCCCGTACACACACAGCTGTTACACCACACACTAAATAACTATTACTGTACCTTTTTTGGCGAAATTATACAATTACCCACGCTATAATTCTCAGTATTTAAATTACCCGTCTATAACACACCCTAGTAACATCGTCTTTACAAACAGTAGTTATAGTACGGTTAGCATTGGTTAGAATACAATTTTAAAGTCACAGGTCAGTTAATAGTAGTTATGGTGTTAAACATACAACATAAACGACAGTTATTAGTGATTATTTACAGTATCAGTGATTATAATACATGGTTATGGTACCGTGCGCTATGATACAGTTACACACTATTCACACTCTCGCTAGACGGCAGAGCTCACGCTACCCAGCAAGATATACACTCTACTATAATAAATTTTAACACATTTACAGTTTCCCAACTAATCTATTGGACAGTACCTCGAGGGACTACCTAAAACTATTTACATCCGTTTTGGTTAGCCGTCGCTGCCCAAGCACCACATATAGCGAACTAGAGGGCGGAATTTACAACAATACCCTTTTAGTCTATCTACTCTATCAATAGTCTAGTGGGTTCCAAATTTACACGCCTTCCCACTTAGCCAAGATAGGTTGAGAACTAGCAAACGATAATGTACACCAGAGTCTGCTTAGTCTCCCGGTCCCTCCGACCTAGCGAATGAAATGTACACCCTAGATACGCTAGTCTAGACAAGACACCGGTGTCCGGCTTGGGCTATATACATTCAACCAAGACCCAGCCTGACTCCATACCAAGATTAGACGGGCTGACTACAGGGCGTCTAATTATGAGCGGTGCGCCTTCGCTCCTTCCCTCCCTGGAGGGGGCCAATTTCATACATAATTCCAATTCAAACCCCTTATGGGCCTACCGCACAATCGGTATCCAATACCCCTAGTGGGTCCACCGTCTAAAACAGTAGTCGTCTTACCTCCTCGTTCCTGAACCTGAGTTCACACTCATCGACGGGGACACCCCAGTACTTACTACGTAGAGGCCGATGATCTCCTGGACAACAGACCAGTGGCGCCGAGACGAAGGGAGGTCCACGCAGAAGTTCAGGGGTGCAGCCGTAGAGAACATGGGCAAAGATAGACCGTCTCACGTCTCTGCTTCCTAGCCACCGGTAACGACGAGCTTCCCGGTCAATGCACCAAAGATGTTACCGGGAAACTGACGGAGGCCAAGCACAGAGAGATGGACACAGGTTTCTTCAGGAAGGAAGAGATCTTTATTCGATTCACCGACCGGGACTCAGAGGGACTTATGTCACCAAAAACAGCTTTTGTTTACTGGAATTCCATCACAATACCACAAACTAGTCATGAACATATACAATGTAACAGCCCACATACACACAAATACAACGTTCAAAAGCAAGTGCAGCACCCATAAATAACACAAGCACAACACGGCAACATAAATACATCAATTTGAAAAAAAATAGGACCGGTACACCAAGGGACTTCAAGATCTTGTTTTGACACAGTACTACTAGAAGGTTGCCTACCACTTACCTAGATCCTAGTCACTTTTGTCCATTCTCCCCACTTAATGTCGACATTAAGAATTTAGCATAAACTATGGCGAATCATTTGAATCCATACCTACGCTCTTTCATTCACCTATATCAAGTGGGATTTATTCCCAATAGAAAGGCCATGGATAATACCATAGGGCTATCGACTTCATCTGGCTTGCTTCTTCCAAAATTTTGATGGCTGTTATTCCCCTGGATTCTGAAAAAGCCCTTGATTATCTCCCTCTGGCCCTACCTAAACTTAGTTTTAAGACATTTTGGTTTTCCTCCCAGTTTTATTGAACTACTAACATCCATTATAGTTCTTTTCGCTCTTCTCCTGCCAAATATCACTGTGCCACCTTTTCCAATACACAACTGAACTAGACAAGACTGCCCACTTTCCTCTTTTCTCTCTTTTCTCTCTACTCTCTGTCTTGAAACCTTGCTTCAGGCTATACATCTCTGATATTGCAAACCTTTAGGTCCATGGCAAATACTTTAAGGTCGTGGCTTATGCAGTTAATATCCTTCTGTTTCGCTAAATTATGCACCCTTTCTTGAGAAAGCTCGTTTAGATTCTAAAACATTGAATGAACCTGAACATGGCTGGAATGTATAGCCTAAAAAAGATTAATCTTCTCTGGTGATTTCTTTATCTTTTTTAAGCTTTGCCTATTCCAATGCGCAGGTCAGATTTAGTCTCTCTCCAAGCTTTATCTGGAAATGGAAGAAGAAACCCGGGTTTACCTCTCCACTTTGTATGTACATTCTACACTGGGAGGCTAAAGTCTGCCGAACTTCCTTAGATATTATTAGGCTGCAAACTTTCCCAAGTGCAACACTAGCATGTTCTCTCCGATATGAATAGACAGGTGAACTTACAACATTCTATTTTTCTACATGTGGATCCCATGCTCCTATTGCACCCTACCTCTCCTGCTATAACCAATTTTCTCCAGATCTGGGACGGACTGGGAGCGAAGTTCGACCTCTCAACTTTTGCCTATTATCACTTTACTTCACAACAGACTTTTTCCTCCTGGTATAGATCCACATTTATGTAGTCATTTCGAAGACAGAGGCTTGCCTCGTCTTTGTCACCTCTTTTCACAAAGCTATTTTCTCTCTTTCTCAGACATTCCTGACACTGACAAAGATGTAATCTACACTGCTACACACGCCCATAAATAAATGCAAATTTTAGCAGCCATCCTGCTTCCATGACTCATGAGTGGAGGAGGCTGATGTCCAGGTTGATTAGCTGGGAAGAAAGCTCTATGCGAAACTGCAGTAGCAGGCAAGTTAGAATTAGCAGCAGCTGGTCTTGGAAAGAATCTTGTAATGTGCTACGGAATCTGTTGGCGCTATATAAATGGCAATAATAATAATAATAATCTGACCAAAGATGGCTGCTCAGCTACATGAAAAAAGTGAAACTTGCTTTAAAAAAAAAAAGAGTTTCATTACATATAATAAAATGAAAAAATAAATAAATTTGTAAAACACTTTGCATTTAATATAAATTTGGTGCCTGTAGCGTCCCTTCAAAAATAATCTCTATAACCAAACTTAAATGCCAAGTGTCATACATTTCCCCCTTTTTTCTTTTAATTTTACTACATTTGATGAAACCTAATTTTTATTTTTATTTTCAGTGTGCCCTTAACAAAAAATAAAACTATACCATCAAAAGGATCCAATAAAGAAACCATCTCAAAAACCAAATATTCAGCTTGACTGCCCATCACACACAGCTCCAGTGGCACATCTCTCCTGGCCAGCACACACACACTGTATCAGGACTGGTACCAGGGGGAGTGTTTATACAGGTCTAAGGTGCATGTTTAATGTGTTCAGTAACGGGCATTAATAATGCTGGCAGACCCCATACAGATACAGCAAGCTCTCCCCGGAGTGTGATTAAACCCAGGCGGCTCCCCTGGCGGCGCCCCTGACATTGCTGCTGACGCCATGCTGCTCTCTCCATTGCCATAGGAGCAGGCCGTGTCCCAGCATGCCGCGCGGCGCCAGCCTTCCCTTTGACCTCTGGTGATGTGCTAAACATCCGGGCTACCCGTGCTAGCGAGGGAAGATGGCGGCCGCATTGCTACCAGCTGATTGGATAAAGAACTGGGAAAAATCCGGAAAAAATGATTTGTAAGTGATGGGATCGGGGTCAGGGGGGGTCTGGGAGCGGACATGGGGAGGGCTGGCGATCCGCCGAGCCGGGTAGCGGGGTGCTGGGGGTCCTGGGACCGTGGCTATGGGGGGGAACCAGCACCGCCAGCGGCGGAAGGCCTCACTGCCGGGATTCCTGTGGCCGCGGGGAGCTCAGAGCATTGTAGCGACAGTAACGGGGGTTCAGTATATTATGGGGGGATGGGTGGGAGAGTAAAGGGGGTTCAGTATATTGGGATGGTGGGGATGGGTGGGAGAGTAACGGGGGTTCAGTATATTATGGGGGGGATGGGTGGGAGAGTAAAGGGGGTTCAGTATATTATGGGGGTGGTGTCCAGGGAGAGATCCTTCATCAGGGAATTCGCCATCTATCACTAAGGCCAACAAGGCATCCTGGGAATTGTAGTTGTGTGACGGTTGGTCGTCTCACCCACCCCACCCCGCTCAGCCAGAGCTAAGAGTCTGTGCTGCAATGTGAGAGATCCGGGAGATCACACGGTAGAGATCAGTATACAGAGTGGGCAACTTTATTCCATATTCTGCAATGGATTAAACAATAAAAGTATGATGATGATAATGTAGGTCAGGGATAGGCCACCTTCGGCACTCCAGATGTTTTGGACTACACTTCCCCATGATGCTTTGCCAGCATTATGGGGGATGTAGTCCACAACATCTGGAGTGCCGAAGGTTGCCTATCCCTGATGTACGTAGATAAGTTAGTATGATCGATCACCATCTGAACTTTAGTTAAGTATATCCATATTGTACGAAAAGTTCCTAACAACAACATGCAAGGGATTTGCAGTTTCAATTAATTGTACATCAAACCTTATAAAGAAAAATACCTAAGCTGACACAATTAAGAGCCAGAGATTGGTGGCAAGAATGTTAGCTCCCCAACATTTCTGCACAAAGCCTTTTTTTCTTTTCTTTCTTTGTTACACATAGCTATAGACGCCATGCTGATACCCCCAGCTATATTTTTACCATAGTTACCTGGCCAACAGGTAGAACCAATCTTTTGAATTAGCCAGGCTAGCAAAACATTGTGTGGGACTGTGTAATGCTCATTGTCTACCTAGGTGCTATCCATACTCTATCATTACATTTTATAATAAGGTAGTCAGGGCAAAGTTGTCTCAAATATTCAACTTCCTGGATGATGATAAATAAATTTTAGAGCATTATAATATTTGGCACTTCTTGTAGAAAATATCCTCTGATATTTACTGTTTTCGGCGTTATTGTCTAAAACTCATAGTGAATTAAATCCAAATTGAAAAAAAATGAAGCTAAAATGGATTATTCGGAAAATATGCAATAGTCACAGCTTGGCTGTTTATGAAAGTCTCTGTTTTGCCATTCAGATTTCATCCACTAAAATACGGATTTTAGTCAAAACCTCTATTAGAGTTTATTCACTAAATAGTTGCTAATAACTGACAAAGGATTGCAGATTATACAAGCAGATATTGAAAAACAAAGTCCTACTTGGCTATTTTTCATTGTCTTAAAAGTTTTTATTCCTATTAGGGTCAATTTTATTGCTTTGGTTTCATGTATCAAATTTTATATATAATGCTTAGAGACTTTTAAACTGTATCAGTGAAATGTTTTAAAATGCTTAGTAGGGGCTTCTTCTCTGCTTGAAAAGAAAAAAAAGTATTCCACCCACCCTAAGTTATGCTGGGCAAGTTTGCTTATCTATGCCTAAATACAGAATTGTACGCGATGTGTTAGAATTGCTTGGTTTGGAAAGAATACTTTGTCAATCTGCGATTCACTGAATAAAGTGTAACACCTTAGACCAGTGGTTTCCCAACCCAGTCCTCAAGTACACCCTACCAGTCCAGGTTTCAGGGATTACCCAGTTGTGTCTAAGGTGTGTTTTTTTTTTTTTCCCCCCTAAAAACCCCCAAAACAAAACAAAACAAAACACTTTAGGGTAGTCCCTAAATCCTGGACTGGGAGGGAGTACTTGGGGACTTGGTGGGGTACCCCTGCTCCAGACTAAAATAATCTATATATCTCCTCTGCTGGAAGGGGAAAATGAAAGGGCAAGATGAAATGCATTGCGTTGTCCAGTGTGTGTTATTTCTGACAGGCCTTTTTCCCAGATCTGAGAAAGAGATACGTCGGAAAGAAGAAATTTGGTGACAAGTCCATGGCAGTGTGTGAGACCTGAGAAATATCCAGTCTTATAATTCACTTGCTCTGTTTATTAAATAAATACTTTTCATATATAGGTGGCTTGCTCCATACCTGAATAAAAATATCCAGTCTCCTCTGTGCCTTCACTGGTTAGGTATCAGACATGTACAGTGCCTTCCACTAATATTCTCACCCTTGGTAAATATGAGCAAAGACGTGTATGGAAATCTGTCTTAATTGTTCAACATTTTGATCTTTTGTTCAAAATAATACACACAAATGCTCTGCTCTCATGGATTGCAAACACAACATGGGTGTATCCAAAATACAAATAAAAATATCTTTGGATCAATGTCCTACTGGAAGATCTAACCACGGCGCATTTTAAGATTTATGGCAGAGGCGGTCAGGTGTTAATTTAAAATCTGCTGATATTTCAGAGTCGATGATGTCATGTATCCTAACAAAAAAAATGTCCTGGTCCTATGGAAGGAAAATGGGCCCAAAACAGTAAAGAGCCACGACCATAGTTAAAGGGACCCTATAGTCCCCAGAACAACTACAGTTTAATGTAATTGTTCTGGTTAGTATAGCCTGCCACTGCAGGCTTTTTGTAGAAAAAACTGCCTTTGCAGAGATAAGGCAGTATTTACATTACTGTCTAGTAACACCTCTTGTGGCCGTCACTCAGATGGTCACTAGATCAGCATCTCCACGATCTGCATTGAGAAGCTGACTATTTCTCATAGAGGTGGACTAATTTGATGTATCTTTGTGAGGAGATGCTGATTGGCCAGCACTGCATTTGGCTCCTTCCTTGACCCGCATCCTTGGCTGAGATCATAAGATTTTACCATCTCAGCCAATCCAATGCTTTCAATTGGCTGCGATTGTCAGTTCTGATGATCTCAGCCAAAGTGGAAAAGGCAGAGCCAGCCATGGCAGACCTGCATGGCACTGGAATAAAGATGAGTTTTTTTTTTTGTTTTTTTTTTTACAGCTTTTTAGGTGGGGTGAGGGACAGGGGGGTGGGAGGCACATAGTCAGTGTTTTTAACACTATATAGGTTTAGGAATACACATTTGTATTTCTGACCATATAGTGTTCCTTTAACCGTGGGCATAAAGTACTTTTCCATATAGCTACCTCTCGGTGCGTGCCAAACCTACCTCTGGTGAATATTGCCAAAAAACTCTTTTGTTTTTCACCTGACCATATAACCCGATCCCATTTGAAGTTCCAGTAGTGTCTGGCAAACATTAGATGCTTGAGTTTGTTTTTGGATGAGAGTGTAAATGCTTTTTTTTGCTTGAAAACCTTCCAAACAACTTGTGGTGATAAAGGTGACATCAGATTATAGTTTTGGAGACTCTCTGACCCCAAGACGCAACTAACTAATGCAATTCTCCTTGGAGATTTTTTGGGCCACTCGAACCATCTTCTTCGTAGTGCCTTGAGACAATATAGGCACACGTCCTCTTCTAATTTGATTCATAACATTTCCAGTTGACTGGAACTTTATAGCCCTGATGGTGGAAATGGGTATTTTCAATGCTTTTGCTTTTTTTCTTCTAGCCACTTCCCTTCCCATTTTGTGAAGCTCAACAATCTTTCGCTGCACATCATGGCTATATTACTATATTATTTGATCTTACCCATTCTGACGAATGACTAAGGGAATTTGGCTTGCTACCTAATATTTATGCCCCTGTGAAACAGCAAGTCATGGTTTTACAATGTCCTGTTCGTAATCACCCAGGTGTAATAAAAATGTAAAATACCAGTGGGAATATATATAGCAGGAATGACCGCACTCCACGGACTTTATAGAGATTTTAAAATAAAATGTAACTTTTATTCAATCCATTTAAAAAGTCAACGTTTCAGCTCCCACATGGAGCTTTCATCAGGACAAAACAACATGTTTTACACTCTCATCCATACATTTTATTTGAAAATCTCTATAAAATCCTTGGAGTGCGGTCATTTCTGCTATGTTTACATGATCCTTGCCAGACCAGCACCGGGCACCACAGGAGTGCAAGCCCTTGATATAGATATATATATTTATATTTATTAAGGAAGGGGGTGAGGTTTGAGGGTGTAAACCTGTGTTGTGTTTGCAATTGTTTGATATCTAAGAGAGCAGAGTATTTTTGCTTGTTTTTTTTAACAGGTTTTTCACAGCCTTGTTTGCTCATATTTACCAAATATTAGTGGAGGGCATATTTGGGGAAGTGCTATAATTTGCTTCATAGGAGTCAATGTGTTTGATTGGCATTAAAATGTATTCTGTATCTAAATTTTTTTTTTTTTTTTATGCTTTGTTTTCATCTTTCACTGCTACGTGTTTTTTTAAAACAGTAGTTTTGTACCAGAAGCGTGCCTTTTCGTATGATACCCTAAATGTTATATATAATGTTGGACCATGACCAGGTTGGCTTATTCATGGATTATTTTGTTTTTCACAATCCGTTATGATTGTAGGCACCAACATTTTTTTCCACTTTATTGTCGCTATTTTTATTTAAGAACATATACAATTATGGTAATGATTCACTCAAACCAAAATAGTGAAACATTAAAGGACCACTATAGGCACCTAGACCACTTCAGCTCAATTAAGTGGTCTGGGTGCCAGGTCCATCTAGGGTTAACCCTGCAGCTGTAAACATAAACTGCTATGTTTACATTAGGGTTAATCCAGCCTCTAGTGGCTGTCTCATTGACAGCCGCTAGAGGCGCTTCCGCGCTTCTCTCTGTGAAAATCACAGTGAGAAGACGCTGCCATCCATAGGAAAGCAGTGAGAAATGCTTTCCTATGGACTGACTGTGCGTGCGGCTCTTGCCGCGCATGCGCATTCAGCGGATGACGTCGGAAGAGGTAGGAGAGTAAGAATTTAACCCCTTCCTCCCCCTTCAGCCCGGCAGGAGGGGAACCCAGAAGGTGGAGGACACCCAAAGACCCTATAGAGCCAGGAAAACAAGTTTGTTTTCCTGGCACTATAGTGGTCCTTTAAAGAGAATAACAAATTGTAAGTGTGTTGCATATTTTTTGCATTTTGACTTTTATAATTTACCAGCATTCCAGTTTATTTGCTGAATCTCTATATCATGGTTTAGATATCTAGAATTCATTTTGTGTGTTTAATGTAATTTCAGTGTTCAGTTGTGCCGCAGTCTAAGTGAAAAAGGCCAGGAACTGGTGACGTTTAAAGGTAACCTTCAACACACTTTATTTCAATAATTTTGTGGTTCCGTTTTTAGTGTAGTGCATAATAATGTTATCCAACGTAAAATGTTAATGGGCATTATAACTAGCTAACTGTTTTTAAGGCATGTGAAATATAAAGATAATTCTATTCTACCCCTTGCCAGAGTGGAAATGGACCACTTGAAATAAGAAAACGAACGTGTGACCATTGAAAACAATGTTGTTCAGATGTTGCAAAGAAAGTGTAACTTTTTCTATTTTGTTAAGCATAAAACTCTTTTACTGCATAAATGAATGACTATTGAAACAAAAACACCCT